GTGTTGCAAGTTCGAAAAGTACCAGTTCTAATGAAATAATTATTAACTTGTATTGCTCTCCCTTCCTTGTTATCAAAGAAACCTTTGACCAACACTCAAGAATATTGTCAAAAGATAAAACATACATTGCAAGATCTCTCCTGACGGCTGTTGTGTAGTTGAGGTGTATAAATATTCACTGTATGTTAACGTGTGTTCCAATAAAGGAATATTAAAGTGCTGTAGCACTTTACTGTTCTGTGTAACATCCCACAATTGTCTTAGTAAAATCCCTTCTTCTCCTTGAGGGCAGGTTAACAGGGTCTCAGTGGACTTGACTTGCAGCTTGTCAACGAGTGTGGGAATGGAGCCTCTGTGACGGTCTCTCGTCCCCGGTTCCTGAGCCCGGAGGGATCACAGTATCCTGGGGCACTCACTGCTGATAGCGGCACAGCTCGGCCCGGCTCATCGGCAGGACCTGAGAGTGTCGATCAGTCACCGGAGGCGCACAGACAGACAGAGAGAGAGACACAGACGGGCAGAGAGATAGAGAGACACACACGGGCAGACACCACAGACAGCACCGCAGAGACAAACACAGGCAGAGAGACATACACAGGTACAGACGTACAGAGAGACACAGACAGAAAGAGACATGCACAGGCAGAGAGAGATACGCACGGGCACACACACACAGTGAGACACACACACAGGTACAGACACACAGAGAGACGCACAAACAGGTACAGACACAAAGGGACACACATACACAGGTACGCATACAAAGAGCCACAAATATAGGCACAGACACACAGAGAGACACAAAAACAAGAAATAATAATAATAATAATCCTTGCATTTGATATAATAATAATAATAATAATAATCCTTGCATTTGATATAGCGCTTTTCACGTCAGGAGGACGTCCCAAATCGCTTCACAGAACACACTGTAAAGTGAATTGACTGTATATTTGTGGGCGAACGCGGCAGCCAATTGCGCACAGCAATGTCCCACAAACAGTCATGGGTGGAAAATGACCAATTTATTATTGTTTTTGTGTTGGAGGGATTACTATTAGGCTCTGTGTGGAGTAAGGAAACTTGCCCGAGGTTTCGCCCTCTGCCTGGAACAGACAAAGGTACAGACAAAAAGGGAGAGACAGACGCAGGTACAGACACACAGAGAGACACAGACACATGTACAGACACACAGATACAGGTACTGACACACAGAGAGACACAGACATATGTACAGACACAAAGAGAGACACAGAAACAGTCCAGACATACAGACAGAGACAGACACAGGTACAGACACACAGACAGAGACATACACAGGTAGAGAGACACAGAGAGACACAAACACAAGTACTGACACACAGAGAGACACAAATATATGTACTGACACACAGAGAGACAGACACAGGTACAGACACACAGAGAGACACAGATACATGTACAGACACACAGAGAGACACAGACACATGTACGGACACAGAGAGAGACACAGACACAGGTACAGACACACAGAGAGACACATACACATGTACAGACACACAGAGAGACACAGACACAGGTACAGACAGACAGAGAGACAGAGACACAGACAGAGCTACAGACACACACACAGACAGAGAGACACAGATACAGATACTGACAGACAGAGAGACAGAGACCCAGACACACACAGAGCTACAGAGACACACACAGACAGAGAGTCACAGTCACAGGGTGACACGGGGCTGATTCCCTGACCCTGTGTCCAGGTGATGGTGGGGCTGGACTCCTGGCCTTGGCTCTCTCCGAGCTGCTGATCTGCTGGTTCAGCCCCAAAGCCAGTCACTACACCTGCTGCTTGTCTCTCTGTCTCACCCCTCAGCCCCTCCCCACACACTGCCACCCCACACAGGCACCCAACCGACTCCCACACTCCAGCCCACACCCCCTCTACACTCTCCCGTACCCCCATTTCTCTGGCCCCAACCCACCCTGCACTGTACACCGCACCTCCTCTTCTCCCAAACCTCCCGGCTCTGATCAACACCTCGACCCCCCCACCCCACTCGGCAGCCACACCCCCTCTACATTCACCCCCCCAACCCCTCTAATCTATTCCCCCACCCCTTTCTACTCTCCATCCCCAATCTGCAGCCCCACTATGCCCTCGCACCCCCCTCTACTCTCCCTCCCCGCTTTACACCCCACTCTGCCCACCTACTCCCCTTTACTCTCTCTTCCCACATTACACCCCACTCTGCCCACCTACTCCCCTTTACTCTCTCTCCCCACACTACACCCCACTCTGCCCACCTACTCCCCTTTACTCTCTCTCCCCACATTACACCCCACTCTGCCCCCGCACCCACTCTACTCTCCCTCCCACTCCCACACCCCACTCTGCCCCCACACCCCCCTCTGCCCCCACACCCCCCTCTGCACTCGGTCCCCAGACTACACCCCACTCTGCCCACCTACTCCCCTATACCCTCCCTCTCTCCCCACTTCCACACCCCACTCTGCTCCCGCACCCCCCTCTACTCTCCCTCCCCAACTCTACAGCCCACTCTGCCCCTCACCCCCCTCTACTCTCCCTCCCCACACTACACCCCACTCTGACCCCCGCACCCCCTCTACTCTCCCTCCCCACTCGACACTCCAATATGCCCCCACACTTAGGGTTCGGGTTAGTGTTAGGGTTTAGAGGTTAGGGGTTAGGGTTAGTATCGATTTTAGCTCAGGTTCACGAATGTTTTGTGTTATCTGTTGTCGTTTAATTTGTCGCTCTTTGTCTGTCTGATTGACAGCTTTAGGACCACGTGATCCTGTGGTCTTCTTTGTTTCTCTGCAGTTTGAGTCAGTGTCTGAATACTGCGCATCTGAGGCAGTGCTCAATGTTTTTGGCCTTTAACTAAGAGTCATAGTCTATGAGAGGTAAATGGGCGAGACTCCGGGCTGTGGGCGGGGCTCCGGGCTGTGGGCGGGGCTCGGGGGTGTGGGCGGGGCTCGGGACAGTGGGCGGGTCTCGGGGGTGTAGGCGGGGCTCGGGTCATGGGCGTGTCCCGGGCATTGGGTTATGTGTAGTGACTTTGTTTCAGTGTAGAGTGTAGTGACTGTGTGTGTCAGTGTAAAGTGTAGTGACTGCGTGTGGCAGTGTATAGTGTAGTGACTGTGATTCAGTGTAAAGTGTAGTGACTGTGTGTTTCAGTGTAATGTGTAGTGACTGTGTTTCAGTGTAAAGTGTAGTGACTGTGTGTCAGTGTGAAGTTTACTGACTGCGTGTCTCAGTGTAAGGTGTAGCGACTGTGTGTTTCAGTGTAATGTGTAGTGACTGCGTTTCAGTTTTATCTGTAGTGACTGTATTTCATTGTAAAGTGTAGTGACTGGGTTTCAGTGTAAATTGTAGTGACTGTGTGTTTCAGTGTAATATGTAGTGACTGTGTGATTCAGTGTAAAGTGTAATGACTGTGTGTTTCACTGTAATGTGTGGTGACTGTGCGTTTCAGTGTAATGTGTAGTGACTGTGTGTTTGAATGTAAAGTGTAGTGACTCTGTGTTTCAGTGTAAATTGTGGTGACTGTGTGATTCAGTGTAAAGTGTAGTGACTGTGTGTTTCAGTGCAATGTGTAGTGACTGTGTGTTTGAATGTAAAGTGTCGTGACTGTGTGTTTCAGTGTAAACTGTAGTGACTGTGTGATTCAGTATAAAGTGCAGTGACTGCGTGTTTCACTGTAATGCGTAGTGACCGCATGTGTCAGTGTAAAGTGTAGTGACTGCATGTGTCAGTGTAAAGTGTAGTGACTGTGTGTGTCAGTGTAAAGTGTAGTGACTGCATGTGTCAGTGTAAAGTGTAGTGACTGTGTGTGTCAGTGTAAAGTGTAGTGACTGTGTGTTGCCAATGCCCTTCACTGACAGAGACACTCACTCCTTTATTGTCTGTCTCTCACACTCACTCTGTCTGTCTACAATGGAGAGAGTGTGAGAGAGAGTGTGTGAGAGAGAGAATGAGAGTGTGTGAGAGTGTGTGAGAGTGAGAGAGTGAGTGTGGGAGTGTGTGAGAGTGAGAGAGAGAGTGTGTGTGAGTGTGAGAGTGTGAGCGTATGTGTGATTGAGAGTGTGAGAGTGTGTGTGGGTGAGAGTGTGGGAGTGTGTGTGAGTGAGTGTGTGAGTGAGAGTGTGAGTGTGTGTGAGTGTGTGTGAGTGTGTGAGAGTCAGAGTGTGAGAGTGTGTGTGAGTGTGTGTGAGAGTGTGAGAGTGTGAGAGGGTGTGAGTGAGATTGTGAGAGTGTGAGTGTGTGTGAGTGTGAGTGTGAGAGTATGAGTGTGTGTGAGTTAGAGTGTGAGTGTGTGTGAGAGTGTGAGAGTGAGTGTGTGAGTGAGTGTGTGAGAGTGAGCGTGTGTGAGTGAGAGTGTGAGAGAGAAGTCTGTGTGTGAAGAGTGTAACAGTGTGTGAGTGTGTGTGAGAGTGAGAGTGTGTGAGAGAGTGAGAGTGTGAGAGCGAGTGGGAGTGTAAGAGTGAGAGAGAGAGAGAGAGAGAGTGAGAGACAGACAGAGAGAGAGTGTGTGTGAGAGTGAGATTGTGAGACGCAGAGAGAGAGGGACAGAGAGAGAGAGAGTGAGAGAGAGGGACAGAGAGAGAGAGAGTGAGAGAGGGACAGAGAGAGAGAGAGAGGGACAGAGAGAGTGTGAGAGAGGAACAGAGAGAGCGAGAGATGGACAGAGAGAGAGTGAGAGAGAGTGTGAGAGGGAGAGAGAGGGACACAGAGAGAGAGAGAGGGACAGAGAGTGAGAGTGTGAGACAGAGAGAGAGAGAGGCAGTGTGAGAGAGAAAGTGTGAGAGTGAGAGTGTGTGAGAGAGAGAGAGTGTGAGAGACAGACAGACAGAGAGAGAGAGGGAAAGAGAGAGGAAGAGTGTGAGAGTGAGTGTGAGAGAGAGAGAGAGGGAGAGTGAGAGAGAGTGAGAGAGAGAGAGAGAGAGAGAGAGAGGGAAGGGTTGGGTTCGAGGGCCGATTGCGAACTGTGTGATATAAACCACAATCTTTATTGTACAGCGACACAGACTATGAAGGTTCAGCCTCGTGGCCATCACCGCCAAACACAGGTCACGGCTGAGGGTTCCCTCCTCATCAATCCGTCACCCGACAGATCCTCAGAGGGTCACCGTTTTTGCCGCCGTCACTCCAACCGGGATCGAAGAGAGGATAAAGCTTCTCAGTGAAAGTGTCGGTGAAAGTGTGGAGATGAGACATGTTGTCGGCGTTGTAAAAGGTCACCTCTCCCCCCTCATAGTCCAGGAACACTCCCACCTTCCCGGGTCTGTCCCTCAGGGACAGGACAGTGGGGGGAGAGGTCAGAGCTTCATATTCATCCCCGTTTCTCAGCCACAAAACCCAGATTCCGTTCCCTGGTGACCATGTGATCCATCCTTTCCTGTTGACGGACTCTCGGGCCAATCCCACTGCCCACTCTGTCTTGTTGCCCACCTGCACCTCCCAGTAATGTCTCCCCGATGTGAAGCCCTCAGACCCCAGGACTATGGGATATTTACTAAACCTCTTGGGACCGTCCGGGAGCTGCTGCCGTGTGTCTCCGGTCCTCACGCTGGTCAGGTCCTCAGATAGGATGAGGTCGGGATGGGCGGTGTCGGGATCCAGAGTCAGAGAGACCGGAGCTGAGAGAGAGACACAACACAACGTGGAGTGAGGGGTCATCTGGAGCTCAGACGGTGTGTGAACACATCTACACCCGGAGACACCATCCGGCCCCGAGGGTCACCGTCTGTGTGAGGGTGTGTGTGAGGGTGTGTGTGTGGGTTTGTGTGAGTGGGAGGGTGTGGGGGTGTGTGAATGTATGAGGGTCTGTGTGAGGGTATGTGTGAGAGGGTGTGTCTGTGAGGGCATGAGTGTGAGGGTGTGTGTGAGGGTATGTGAGAGGTTATGTGTGTTAGGGTGTGTGTGAGGGTATGTATGAGGCTGTGTGTGTGAGGTTGTGTGTGTGAGGGGTATGTGAGGGTCTGCGTGATGGTTTGTTTGTGGGGTTGTGTGAGGGGCTATGAGACGGTTTGTGCGTGAGGGTGTGTGAGGAGTTTTATGAGGGTGTGTGTGAGGGTGTATGGGGGGGGGTGGGCGCGGTTTGTGTGTGTGAGATTGTGTGCGGAGGGTGGGGGCGGTGTGAGTGTGTGTGTGTGTGTGTGTGAGGGTATGTCTGAGGGTGTGTGTATGATGTTGTGTGTGAGGGGTATTTGAGGTTCTGTGTAATGATTTGTTTGAGGAGTTGTGTGAGGGGGTGTGAGAGGGTGTATGCATGAGGGGGATTGAGGAGGTGTATGAATGTGTGTGTCTGTGGGTGTGTGTGTGATTGTATGTGAGCGTGTGTGAGGCTGTCTGTGATGTGTCTGTGTGAGCGGCTCTGTGAGGGTTTGTGTGTGAGGATGTGGGTGAGTGTGTGTGTGAGGGGGTATGTGAGCGTTTGTGTGAGGGGGTGTGTGAGGGTATGCGTGAGGGGGGTGTTTGTGTATGTGTGTGATGGTCTGTGTGAGGGTGTGTGTGAGGGAGTGTGTGATTCTGTGTGTGAGGGTATGTGTGACAGTGAGTGTGGGGGTGGGTGTGTGAAGGTGTGTGTGAGGATGTGTGTGAGGTGTTATGTGAGGGTGGGTGGAAGGGTGTGTGAGAGGGAATGTGCGAGGGGGTATGTGAGGGTGTGTGTGAGGGTGTGTGTTAAGGTATGTGTGAGGGGGTGTTTGTGAGAATGTGTGTGATGGTCTGTGTGAGGGTTTGTGTGAGATGGTGTGTGAGTGTGTGTGTGAGGGGGTTTATGAGTGTGTGAGGGTCTGTGTGTGTGTGAGGGTGTGTGTGAGGGTGTGTGAGTGTGAGTGTGGGTGTGGGTCTGTGTGTGGGTGTGTATGAGGGGGTGTGTGAGGGAGTGTGTGATGGGGTGTGTGTGGATGTGTCTGAGGATGTGTGGTTGGGGGTGTGTGAGGGTGTGTATGAGGGTGTGTGAGGGTGTGTGTGTGGGTGGGTGTGAGGGGGTGTGTTTGGGTGTGTGTGAGGGTGTGTGTGTAGGTGTTTGTGAGGGTCTGTGTGTGGGTGTGTGTGAGGGGGTGTCTGTTGGTGTGTGTGTGGGTTTGTGTGTGGGGGTTTATGTGTGTGTGAGGGGATATGTGAGGGTGTGTGAGAGGGTGTGTGAGAGGGTGTATGCATGAGGGGGATTGAGGAGGTGTATGAATGTGTGTGTATGAGGGTGTGTGTGTGATTGTATGTGAGCGTGTGTGAGGCTGTCTGTGATGTGTCTGTGTGAGCGGCTCTGTGAGGGTTTGTGTGTGAGGATGTGGGTGAGTCTGTGTGTGAGGGGGTATTTGAGTGTGTGTGTGAGGGTATGCGTGAGGGGGGTGTTTGTGTATGTGTGTGATGGTCTGTGTGAGGGTGTGTGTGAGGGAGTGTGTGATTCTGTGTGTGAGGGTGTGCGTGACGGTGTGTGTGGGGGTGTGTGTGTGAAGGTGTGTGTGAGGTGTTATGTGAGGGTGGGTGGAAGGGTGTGTGAGAGGGAATGTGCGAGGTGGTATGTGAGGGTGTGTGTGAGGGTGTGTGTTAAGGTATGTGTGAGGGGGTTTTTGTGAGAATGTGTGTGATGGTCTGTGTGAGGGTTTGTGTGAGAGGGTGTGTGAGTGTGTGTGTGAGGGGGTTTATGAGTGTGTGAGGGTCTGTGTGTGTGTGAGGGTGTGTGTGAGGGTGTGTGAGTGTGAGTGTGGGTGTGGGTCGGTGTGTGGGTGTGTATGAGGATGTGTGTGTGGGGGTGTGTGAGGGTGTGTGTGAGGTTGTGTGTGAGGGTGTGTGTGTGGGTGTGTGTGAGGGGGTGTGTTTGGTTGTGTGTGAGGGTGTGTGTGGGGGTGTTTGTGAGGGTCTGTGTGTGGGTGTGTGTGAGGGGGTGTCTGTGGGTGTGTGTGTGGGTAAGTGTGTGGGGGTTTATGTGTGTGGGGAAGTGTGAGGGTGTGTGTGAGGGTGTGTGTGGGTGTGTGGGGGTGTGTTTGTGGGTGTGTGTGAGGGTGTGTATGAGGAGTTTTATGAGTGTGTGAGGGGGTGTGAGGAGCTGTGTGAAGGGGTGTGTGTGGGTGTGTGTGAGGGGTTGTGTATGGGTGTGTGAGTGTGTGTGTGAGGGGGTTTACGAGTGTGTGAGTGGGTGTGTGAGGGGGTGTGTGAGGGGGTGTGTGAGGGAGTGTGTGTGGGTGTGTGTGAGGGTGAGTGTGAAGGTCTGTGTGTGGTTGTGTGTGAGGTGGTGTGTGAGGGTGTGTGTGTGAGGTGGTGTGTGAGGGTGTGTGTGAGGATATGGGTGAGTGTGTGTGTGAGGGTGTGTGTGGGTTTGTGTGAGGGTGTGTGTGAGTGGGTGTGTGTGGGTGTGTGTGAGGGTCTGTGTGGGGGGGTGTGTGAGGTGGTGTGTGTGGTTGTGTGTGAGGGTCTGTGTGAGCGGGTGTGTGAGGGGGTGTGTGAGGGTGTGTGTGTGGTTGTGTGTGAGGGTCTGTGTGAGGGTATGTGTGAGGGTGTGTGTGTGGGGGTGTGAGGGTGTGTTTGAGAGTGTGCGTGAGGATGTGTGTGTTTGTGTGTGAGGGTTTGTGTGAGGGTGTGTGTGGGTGTGTGTGAGGGTATGTGTGAGGGTGTGTGTGAGGTGGTGTGTGAGGGTGTGTGTGGGAGGGTTTGTGTGAGGGTGCGTGTGGGTGTGTGTGAGGGTGTGTGTGAGGGTGTGTGTGAGGGGGTGTGTGAGGGTGTGTGTGGGAGGGTTTGTGTGAGGGTGTGTGTGGGTGTGTGTGAGTGTGAGGGTGTGTGTGAGGGTGTGTGAGGGAGTGTGTGAGGGCATGTGTGAGGGTGGTGTGTGTGGGGGTGTGTGTGGGTGTGTATGGGTGTGTGTGAGGCGGTGTGTGAGGGTGTGTGTGTGGGTGTGTGTGGGTGTGTGTGAGGCAGTGTGTGTGGGTGTGTGTGGGGTTGTGTGTGAGGGGGTGTGTGTAGGTGTGAGTGAGAGTGGGTGTGAGGTGGTGTGAGGGGGTGTGTGAGGGGGTGTGTGAGGGGGTGTGTGTGGGTGTGTGTGAGTGGATGTCTGTGAGAGGGTTTGTGAGGGATGAGGCCATTGACATTATGGCTCACCCCCGGTGACACATTCCCCCTCACTGAGGCCACGCCACCCGCTACCCCTCCCACCATGGCCCCCGCCCCAACCGTCATGGTGGTGGGGTGGCCCTCATCTCCAGGGCGTCACTGGCCCTGTCCCCCTCCTCCACCGCTCATTCCCCTCTTTCCATCACCTCACCCTCCGCCATCCCTCCCCTCTCTCTAACATCCTAATGTACTGCCCCACAAAACCCTCCCCCACCTTCATCTGTGACCCCTCCACCCTCCTCGCCTCCCTCTGCCTCGGCTCCGACCCCCTCATCCTCCTCGGCCACTTCAGCCTCGACTGCACCACCTCCTGCTCCACCTACTCAGACTTGTGCACTCGCCTCCTGTGTGAGCGGAGTGTGCGGGAGGTGTCTGTGGCCTGAGGTGTGTGTACGACGGGTAGGTTTGAGTGGTGTGTGTGTGAGGGTGTGTGTGTGTGAGGTGTGTGTGTCTGAGGGGTGTGTGTGTGTGTGTGTATGTGAGTGAGTGTGTGTGGGTTTGTGTGTGTGTGTATGAGAGGTGTGTGTGGGTGAGGGAGTGTGTGGGGGTATGTGTTGTCAATGGAAGGCTATTGACACGGCTTCAGGGTGAGAATGGGAGACGTGTACCTGGACTGACGCTGTCTATAATCTCTCTCCAGACGGTGTTGTTCAAAGGCCACTGGTACTTGGCCACCGGCAGCTGAGCCTCACACACTGACAGATCAAACCCCTCGTCACTGACCCTGAAACAAGACCCCATCACATTGTAGAGTGAAACTGCACCTTGTGAGCGTTTTGTGGGTTCAATTCTGGGATATTTGGTAAAGGTCATTCCATAACTTCTGTTGGCAGCAGATTCCTCCTAATGAAATCAAACACAGACAGATGTCAGCTCACACTGAGACACCAACAACAACAACAGATTACATGTGTACAGCGTCTCCCACATCCCAATTCAATCTCTGATCTCTTTGTCAATCAAAATTAGTTTGTCGGCTCCCGACTGTGTGTAACTGTGACTGAACTGCATTATAATGTCATCTCTTTACCTGCAGGAAGGTGGGAGCGTCTTTCCCCATCTGTGTCTGTAACTCGGAGAGTTCTTGCTCCACAGACTCTAACTTTCCCCGAATCTCTCGCAGAGTTGTCTCCATTCGCTTTAGAATCTCCTCCTCTCGCTGTCTGAGATCCCCCATCACTCGCTGCTCTCTGTCAGTCAGACTCTGGTACATTTTAGCAAACTCAGCCTTGACGTGAGTCTGCACACTCTTCACCTGTTCCTGAAAATGTCAAACATCCAACAATTACACACAGTAACCAGAGACCTGAGACATCCCACCGTGTACACACAGTAACCAGAGACCTGAGCATTCACACCGTGTACACACAGTAACCAGAGACCTGAGACATCACACCGTTACACACAGTAACCAGAGACCTGAGACATCACACCGTGTACACACAGTAAACAGAGACCTGAGACATCCCACCGTATACACACAGTAACCAGAGACCGTAGACATCCCACCGTGTACACACAGTAACCAGAGACACTGAGACATGACATCGTGTACACACAGTAACCAGAGACTCACTGACAGACATCAGCCCCGACACAACTTACCTTAACTTGTGAAATCTTTTCTCTCTGTTTGGCTTCAGTTTGTAGAGCAGTTTCCTTCCTCTGTGTGAGAGAAGCTATGGAGGACTTCACTTGATCCTGGAATAAACGCACAGAATAACAGGGTTTGAGGGGAAAACCTGACGTGGAAACGGAATGAATGCCTCCTGACAGCTGCCTGTCCGACATCGAGTCCTGGACGAGAGACAACTTTCTTCAGATCAACGTGCGAAAAACTGAGGCCCTCCTGATTGGCTCACGTCAGCGCCTCCGCACCTCAGGCGCTGACAACATCAGCATCCAAGGCTGCACTCTCCACCTCTCAAAGCCAGTCAGGAACCTCGGCGTTTTGTTCGACCCTGAGCTGTCCTTTCTCCCTCACATCCGCACTACAACTGGCACCGCCTTCCATCACCTTCGGAACATCGCCAGACTACGGCACTACCTCACCCCTCACGCTGCCGAAACCCTGGTTCACGCCTTTGTCACCTCAAGGCTGGACTATGGGAAATCTCTCCTCGCCGGCCTTCCCGCCACCTCCCTCCACACTGCAGGTCATTCAGAACTCTGCAGCTCGTGTACTGTCCCGCACCAGACACCGCGACCACACCACACCCACCCTCGCTCCCCTCCACTGGCTCCCCATCCCCCAGAGGATTGATTTCAAGATCCTCATCCTCACCTACAAGGCCATTCACGGCCTTGCTCCCTCCTACCTCTCCAACCTACTATCCCCCTATCTACCTGCCCGTACCCTCCGTTCCTCTGGCTCCGGTCTGCTCCACATCCGCCGCCCCAACCGCCCTACTATCGGTGGTCGGGCCTTCAGCCTCTCAGCCCCCAGGCTCTGGAACTCCATCACCCAGTGCCTTCGCCGCTTCCTCCCTTTCCTCCTTCAAGGCCGGTCTCAAAACCTTTCTCTTTGACCGAGCCTACAGCTCCCCTCTCGACTCTCTTCCTCCTCCTCGCTCCCTCCCTTCCCTCCCCTCACCCTGACCATTTCCCCCCTCCTCTCTCCCTCCCTTCCCTCCCCTCACCCTGACCATTTCCCCCTCCTCGCTCCCTCCCTTCCCTCCCCTAACCCTGACCATTTCCCCTCCTTGCTCCCTCCCTTCCCTCACCCTGACCATTTCCCCCCTCCTCGCTCCCTCCCTTCCCTCCCCTCACCATGACCATTTCCCCCCTGCTCGGGTCATGACCCAACTGTGCAGCGCCTTGGGACCTCCTCCTGACGTGAAAGGCGCTCTATAAATGGAATCTTGTTGTTGTTGTTGTAATCAATGGAACAAATTAACGCGATAGTCATAGTTTTGGGCATAGTGTGACTTTGAGGCATGTGCGAAAAAACTCTGCTCTCTGCTCTCTCCCTACATTACTACACGCTGCCTCCGCTCGACAGGCTCCAGCCGGCTCCCTGTCGCCCACAAGCTCCACTAAGATGTGAGATGGCTGAGATTATATCAGTCCCGTCGTGCACTGGTTGTAAAGCTCACCTTCGCAAGGAAAGCAAAATGACCCGGGTTCCACTCCCAGCCGGTCAATACCTAAGGCAAGGTTCCTTACCCCACTATACAACAACAACAACAAGATTCCATTTATAGAGCGCCTTTCACGTCAGGAGGACGTCCCAAGGCGCTGCACAGTTGGGTCATGACCCGAGCAGGGGGAAATGGTCAGGGTGAGGGAGGGAAGGGAGGGAGAGAGGAGGGGAAATGGTCAGGGTGAGGGGAGGGAAGGGAGGGAGCGAGGAGGAGGAAGAGAGTCGAGAGGGGAGCTGAAGGCACGGTCAAAGAGAAAGGTTTTGAGACCGGCCTTGAAGGAGGAAAGGGAGGAAGCAAGGCGAAGGCACTGGGGGATGGAGTTCCAGAGCCTCGGGGCTGAGAGGCTGAAGGCCCGACCACCGATAGTAGGGCGGTTGGGGCGGGGGACGTGGAGCAGACCGGAGCGCTGTATGCCGAGCGCTGAGTACGAACCCTGTTGTCAGTCGCTTGGCGGATCGCTTTATTTTGATAATTATCCATTAAAACAATCCATGATCGCTCAATGCACAACTGTTTGTGGGGACTTACTGCTGAGAGCAATTGGATGTTGTATTTCTTCCACAAAATATATGCTCAGCTCACGTCACTGTATATTCTGTGAAGCGCTTTCAGACGTCTTGAAGACGTTATCAAGCGCTGTATTAAATGGATATATTATTAAAGTTAATTGTATTATTATATGACGGTTGCATTTCAATAATGGTAGCTTCATTATAATCCTAAGTTTGATACATTGCTGTAGAGCATCAACAAGTCGTCTCAATACGCTTCACAGAATATACAGTAAAGTGTAGTGACTGTATGTCATCTGCGCCAAACAGGGCGATAAGCAAAAGTTTTTCAAACAATCTTTGAAAGCAAACGTAAGGAACCCAGCGACAGGCTCTTTTGAAACAAATCATAGACAGTTAAAAAAGTGATTGCATGATGAAAATCACAGAGCAAACGTCTTGCAACAATAAGTCGCCTATGAAAAGTGCTGTTAATTTACACTTCAATCTATTGTGTGAAGAGCTTTCCGACGAATTTGAGAAAGGACCAGGCACTATATCAAATGCAGTAATTATTCCTCTAATGTTGCAGCAGGTTTTATTCTGAATGTCTCTTCCTGTATCCCTTTGCTGCGCAAAACCACAACGGTGACATCAGCGCGAATGCTCACCCGCGTGTGTGCACCAACTGCTCCCAAGTGAGGAGGCGTGTGAGCACTCACACGGACACGCCAGTGGCTACGCATGAACATGTCGTTGGCCACACATTTAATTGCGGAGGTGCGCACATGTACACTCGGTGGCTACACATGTGTGTGCGAATGCCGATGAGGTTATGGGGGTGAGCTGTGCGTGTGCATGGGGAGACACCAGGGCTGGAGCTTCAGCCTGTCCCACTCCATGGACAACCTTCCCTGTTAGGTAGTTAGTTAGTTAGTCAGTCAGTCAGTCAGTTATCTAGTTAGCTATCAGGGCTTTGGCTGCTTATGATATGGTGAAGTGGAGTCCTGTAGCTCAGTGGTTGGAGCACTCGCTTTGCAAGCGAGAGACCTGAGTTCAATTCCAGGCAGAGGGCGAAACCTCGGGCAAGTTTCCTTACTCCACACAGAGCCTAATAATAATCCCTCTAAAAAAACAAAACAGTAATAAATTGGTCATTTTCAATCTACGACTGTTTGTGGAACATTGCTGTGCGCAATTGGCTGCCGCGTTCGCCCACAAATATACAGTCAATTCACTTTACAGTGTGTTCTGTGAAGCGCTTTGGGACGTCCTCCTGACGTGAAAAGCGCAATATCAAATGCAAGGATTATTATTATTATTATTATTATTATTATGCGGATGACGCCCAACTCAAACTTTCCTTCTCTATCCTCAACTCCACGACCACCGATGTCCTGACAGCTGTCTGTCCGACATCGAGTGCTGGACGACAGATAACTGTCTTCAGCTCAAGGTGCGCAAAACTGAGGCCCTCCTGATTGGCTCACCTCAGCGCCTCCGCACCTCAGGCGCTGACAGCATCAGCATCCAAGGCCGCACTCTCCAACTCTCAAAGCCATCAGGAACCTGTGGGTTCTGTTCGACCCTGAGCAGTCCTTTCTCCCTCATATCCGCGCCACAACTGGCACTGCCTTCCATCACCTCCGAAATATCGCCAGACTACGGCACTACCTCACCCCTCACGCGGCTGAAACTCTGGTCCACGCCTTTATCACCTCAATGCTGGACTATGGGAACTCTCTCCTCGCCGGACTTCCCGGCTCCTCCCTCCACAAGCTGCAGGTCATTCAGAACTCTGCAGCTCGTGTACTGTCCCGCACCAGGCTTCGGGACCACATCACTCCCACCCTCGCTCGCCTCCACTGGTTTCCCATCCCCCAGAGGATCGAATTCAGGATCCTCACCCTCACCTACTAGGCCATTCACGGCCTTGCACCCTCCTACCTCTCTGACCTACTATCCCCCTACCTACCTGCCCGTACCCTCTGTTCCTCTGGCTCCGGTCTGCTCCACATCCCCCGCCCCAACCGCCCTACCATCGGTGGCCGGGCCTTCAGCCTCTCAGCCACTAGGTTCTGGAACTCCAACCCTCAGTGCATTCACCTTGCCTCCTTCCTTTTCTCCTTCAAGGTAGGTCTCAAGACTTTTCTCTTCGAACGTGCCTTCAGCTCCCCTCTCGGCTCTCTTCCCCTTTATCGCTCCCTCACTTCCCTCACCTCACCCTAACCATTTCCCCCCAATGCTCGGGTCCCAACCCAACTGCCCAGCGCCTTTGGACGACCTCCCGACGTGAAGGGTGCTCTATAAATGAAATCTTGTTGTGGTTGTTGTTGTTGTCAGCCAAGATGCGGACACTGAGAGGAGAGTAGGCGGATTAGTGGGATATTGTCCCACTGCAGGAGACTGCAGGGGGCAGTGGTGTTTGGGCCCAATCACTCCGCCTTGCCCTTTCCTTAGCCTCCTTCAAATCCCGCCTCAAGACCCTCTTCTTCGACTATGCCATCGTCCATCCCACTTGTCCTTCCCTCCCTTCTCCCCCCACTAACCCTACTCGCATCTGAAGTGCTGCAAACTGTCCAGCGCTTCAAGATGTCCTCCCGACGTGAAAGGCGTTATATAAACGTAATCTTGTTGTTGTTATTTAAAATGCAGCTAAATATCGATTAAAAAATGCATTGCTGATCACTATCTGCGGTGCGAATCTTCGTTCCTTTAATTTCTGAAAAATGGTTGCACCCAAAGCAGATTTCAAAACGTATTATTCTATGCCACTGTATTGATCCTTCGTCCCCACCACAGCACCACATATTTTTGTAGACAAAATTTCAGAAGCACAGAAAAGCAATTCATGAATTGCCGATGGTGTTGTTTCTCTCAGTTGTTCGGTTACGCCGAAATGTGAGGCAAATTTCCTTATTCCATTCGTCTGTTCACTGGTTTACTCGAATTTGGAACCCAGTTACGGCGGTAATAGTAGTTCCCGACGAAAATTAATAATAATAATTTGGTCACTCAATCCATGACTTGGACGGATACTGTTGGTGAGCAGTTGACTGCTGCATTTCGCCCATAACATACACAATCAAACTACTTGACAGTTTATCCTGTGAACCGCGTTGCGACGTGTTGACGACGCAATAAGTTTCTGTATCAAACACAAGAATTACTATTATTATCGGAACTCAATTTATTTTATTTAATATACATTATGCAAATGCATTTCTCACCATTATGTATGCAACCAGTTATTTGGAAAATGGCAATGAACATATTTCTTAATGTTTCGTAACATATTTGTAATGCGAAAGCTCATTCGATCCACAACCAAACATGGCCACAACCCAAGTTAGGAGACGTTCAATGTTGATGGTTCATGGAGCAGGAGCTTAACCCTTGCAGATAACGACTCTATTTGGAAGGAAACAGTGCATAATTGATAACCGCTCATCATGTTGTTAGGCTTACCTTGTGTTTATGATGTTTTTCCTTTAATTTAGCAACGATATTAAATGGATGAACTGAACCGTTCTTGAGCTCCTCTCCGAACTTAGTCTGAGTCAATGCGTAAATACAGGAGTTGGTAAAACTCAACCTTGAAAGCATGATTCCGCTTTCTTCGACGATAAACCGCATGTCGTTGACAACGGTTTCGTTGACAGTATAATTGGAAAGTTGCCATTTCAAAGAAAATATAACATTTGTTATGCGGAATAGTATAAAACTGCCTGATACGGCGAAGAGGAAAACGATTGATTTTCTGCGGTTTTCCAACTCTGGATCAATTGTTTTCCCAATAGTTCTCTGAATACGAAGACTTCTGCGAACTTTACTGGTCATCAGAATGTGCCTAATAATCAGAGCATTGAACAGACAAATCAGACCAAAACCAAACAGCGAACCAATAACGCAGTGAAGCTTTTCAAACGCTTTCCAGGCAGACAAAGTATAATAGTTTGATTTGAAGACACAGTACCACGGATTGCCGTCAAGTATAACGTAAGGATCAAACGTAAAGTACCAGGGAATGCTCACTAAACAGCTGAAAACAGACAGAGTTATAATAACCAATGTGGCCGTTCTCTCTGTGCAATAGTCGGTTTTCAATTTTTGGCAGCAAATAACTACAAATCGGTCGAAAGTGAAAGCAACAGTGAACAACACAGAGCAGTGGACAGTTGCAGATATCACCACAACTGTAAAACTGCACACTGGTGTGTAGAATAAGAAATTTAATGGAAAATAGCGAATTTTTATTTTATTCAACAACACATCCACAATGACAACCAGTAGATCCGCCGTTGCCATGGCGATCATGTAGCGAGTGATATTCTTGGAGAGACCACACTTTCCTCTTGATAGGATCACAATCGCGAGAAAATTAACTGCGAGAATCAATAAAAATAGAAAACACAATTTAGATGAATAATAAGTACTAGATTCAAAGTGCAAAACTGTAATACATTCCACTCAGCTGTCTTTGAATTGTTTCATACATGTTCGCAAACAACATACAGTAGGTGCCATTTCGAGCCAAATATCTTCCTCAAAATATTGATTGATTATTGAACAGGGAAATTATTACTTTGCATAAAATGGTTTGATTAGAAATGTAAATGTTGGGAACTATTTTTGCATCATCTGCTTCAATAACTTTCGAACCCAGTTAATATTAAGTAATACTTGCACGTTTCATTCACGTATGTGCAATATCTTCACCTTTAGTAATTCGGTAAGCGAGTTCGAATCACCAAAGCATTTGGGGATACCAAATGGGGGCATGACTTTACTTACCAATCCTGATTTCTGACCACCATGAAAAGTGCAGAATGCTGATATTTCCTGAAAGGTTAGTCAGTTCAATCTAGTGCACTATACCTCCATTAATCCACAGCAATTAGCACACTTGAACTGAGAAAGCAAAGCGCAATTCTCAAAGAGCAAGGATTCGCTTTTTCAATTCATTAACTAAGACAACATTTTTAAATATTAGATGAAATATGTAAACCAAGGAAATTCGAAAGCAATTTGCTGATTTTGCGTGATTATTGGACATCCGTTTTCCCGGCAGGGTGAAATCTAGAGCACGCTTCCTTACACCACAAGCTTGATATTGATCCCTCATAAAAAANTTCTCACTTCAATCCACAACTGTTTTTTGGACACTGATGTGCGCAAAATTGCTGTCGGGTTTCGCTCATGAATAGGTTATGAATTTCAACTAACTTGAAAGTATATTCCGGGAAGCGCGTTGAAGCGTCTGGAAAAGCTGTTAAGGCGCAATATCAAATGCAAGGATTACTAATTTTTTTGTTGAAAACACAGCTAACCATTGAGTAGTATTACTGAACGCTCGTTGTGTTAAATAGCATTGCCTACTATTGTTAATATGACTTGGAACTCATATTACTCTGCTCCATATATTATAGGGATGTAGAAGACCAGAAAACACCAATACCAGCAGAGACTTCAACAACAACAGCAACAAGATTCCATTTATAAAGCGCCTTTCACGTCAGGAGGACGTCGCAAGGTGCTGCACAGTTGGGTCATGACCCGAGTAAGGGGGAAATGGTCAGGGTGAGGGGAGGTAAGAGAGGGAGCGAGGAGGGGGAAATGGTCAGGGTGAGGGGAGGGAAGAGAGGGAGCGAGGAGGGGGAAATGGTCAGGGTGAGGGGAGGGAAGGGAGGGAGCGAGGAGGGGGAAGAGAGGCGAGAGGGGAGCTGAAGGCTCGGTCAAAGAGAAAGGTTTTGAGACCGGCCTTGAAGGAGGAGAGGGAGGAAGCGGCGAAGGCACTGGGGGATAGAGTTCCAGAGCCTCGGGGCTGAGAGGCTGAAGGCTCGACCACCGATGTTAGGGCGATTGGGGCGCGGGACGTGGAGCAGACCGGAGCCGGAGGAACGGAGCGTACGGGCAGGTAGGTAGGGGGATAGTAGGTCAGAGAGTTATGAGGGAGCGAGGCCGTGAATGGCCTGGTAAGTGAGGATGAGGATCTTGAAATAAATCCTCTGGGGGATGGGGAGCCAGTGGAGGCGAGCGAGGGTGGGAGTGATGTGGTCGCGGTGTCTGGTGCGGGACAGTACACGAGCTGTAGAGTTCTGAATGACCTGCAACCTGTGGAGGGTGGTGGCGGGAAGGCCGGCGAGGAGAGAGTTCCCATAGTCCGGACTTGAGATGACAAAGGCGTGGACCAGGGTTTTAGCAGCGTGAGGGGTGAGGTAGTGCCGTAGTCTGGCGATGTTCCGGAGGTGATGGAAGGCAGTGCCAGTTGTGGGCGGATATGAGGGAGAAAGTACAGCTCAGGGTCGAACTGAGCACCGAGGTTCCTGATTGCTTTGAGAGGTGGAGCGTGCAGCCTTGAATGTTGATGGTGTCAGCGCCTCAGGTGCGTGACGTGAGCCAATCAGGAGGGCCTCAGTTTTTCGGACATTGAGCTGAAGAAAGTTGTCTCTCGTCCAGGACTCGATGTCGGACAGGCAGCTGTCAGGACATCGGTGTTCTTGGAGTTGAGAGTAGAGGAGGAAAGATGTAGTTGGTGTGTCATCCGCATACATGTGGAAGTTAACTCCATGTCT